TGTACTGGTCAAGTGAGTTGGAAAAAACTATTGCTACGTGAGCCTCTGTGATTCAGGGAAGCATGTTTAATTTAAATTCTAACTAGTTGCTTTGTGTTATGAATATTATATATCTATGAAGTTACAGTATAATAGCAGATCTGGGTGGTAAAGCTCCCTCTGGAACGCATGTGGATGCAGGAAAAAATGTTGGTTCCAAGAAACAATTATGCAAGTTGAGCTGTTGCTGCTGCTGCTGTGTGTATATGTGTGTTATTACATATGCAGGACAGCCATGCCTACTTTAGCCACATCTACTTTTGCTTTGGCCACTCCCACATCTGGCATGCAACACTGGCCAAAGTAAATGCAACCATCAGGCAAAATTATTATTATTATTATTATTATTATTATTAATAATAATAGGGGGGGTTATCCTCCTCTGGATGTAAACTATCGGCTCCCAGTACGTTTCCGAGCACAATTCAAAGTGTTGGTGCTGACCTTTAAAGCCCTAAACGGCCTCGGTCCTGTATACCTGAAGGAGCGTCTCCACCCCCATCACCCAGCCCAGACACTGAGGTCCAGCGCCGAGGGCCTTCTGGCAGTTCCCTCCCTGCGAGAAGTGAGGTTGCAGGGAACCAGGCAGAGGGCCTTCTCGGTAGTGGCGCCTGCCCTGTGGAACGCCCTCCCAGCAGATGTCAAGGCAATAAACAACTACTTTACTTTTAAAAGACAGCTGAAGGCGGCCCTGTTTAGGGAAGTTTTTAATGTCTGATGCTGTATTGTTTTTAATATTCAGTTGGAAGCTGCCCAGAGTGGCTGGGGAAACCCAGCCAGATGGGCGGGGTATAAATAATAAATTATTATAATATTATTATATTATTATAAGTTCCATAAGGGCTATCACATGGAAGATGGAACAAGCTTGTTTTCTGCTGCTCCAGAGGGTAGGACCCAACCTAATGGGTTCAAACTACAAGAGATTCTGATTAAACTTTAGGAAGAGAATGAAATGGACTACCCTCAGAAAGTAGTGGAACCTCCTTCACTGGAGGTTTTAAACAAGAGTTTGGATGGCCATTTGTCAAGGATTCTTTAACTGATTCCTGCATTACAGGCATTGAACAAGATGACCCTTGGAATGCCTTCTAACCCTATGACTATCAGCCTGATTCAGCAGATCTATTATTGTGTTCTCCTTTCCTGACCAGAAAGCTCCCTATACAACAGAGGTTTGGTGCAGAGGAAGGGGAGCCAGTTCCTGTATAGTGGTGCTGATAGCTGCTGTTATGCTGTTACACAGTAGTCTGGAGCCTGCTCCTGTTTTTCTCCTGCAATCATAGGAGGAGTCATGCTGGTTGGGTTGGGTTGGCGAGGCAACAAAACTAGGATTGAATGGTGTGGAATACGTTTTTAAAAATCAGTTGCAGGGACAACGGGAAGTTAACAGGAAGTTACTGTTGCCCAGCCAGAGTAGGCCAGTTGTCAGGGCAACAGTTAACACTTGTTGGGCTTTTGAGAGTACAAGCATCACGAGAAACAAGAAAAATATGAAGAGAATTCATATCTTGCAAATCTGCATTTAAATCTGGTGAAACATTCTGCTGAAGAGGGCTTCCCCCAGAACTGTTTTAGATGTGTATGGCTTAATTGAGGGGAGGCATGGAGGAGTGGAAATCCACCCACTTGACCCTGGTCTATCTGAAACTGCAATTGCAACTAAACCATCTGGCACCTTAGGCCTTGGTCGTGATAGAAGCCATTCTCCAGATTTTGTTGGACTACAGTTCCCCAATCCCTGACCACTCTCATAACTCCCAGCTGGCATGACCAGTGGTCAGGGATTGGGGAACTGTAGTCCAACAAAATCTGGAGAATGGCTTCTATCACGACCAAGGCCAAGACCAGGGTCTTCTATCACGACCAATGCACAGGTGACTTTTGATGCAGTGGTAACTAGTAGTACTGACTGGTTTGTTGAAGTGCTTTTTGTTGTTGTTGTAAAAAGATAGATACTGCTGCTCATATAATGAGAAATGCGCTGTAGGTGCCAGCATAAAATGGCTGACTTGTCAAGCAAGCAAGCAAGCAAGCAAGCAAGCAAGCAAGCAAGCAAGCAAGCAAACAAAGTAACAGTACTCCATACCAATGAATGCATTCACAATAAACTAGCATTGGTTGGTTGTTCCATCTTGCCAGGTGGTGGTGAGAATGTTACAGTCCATTTTATTAGAAATGTGGGGAAGCTGAGGAATAGTTAAACTATCCCCAGCTTGGTTCAATGGTCCTGCCAAGTGGTGAGTAGTTACATGCATGGCGTGGTAAATTACCCCTTGGGAAATGATGGTCTCACATTTAGCCATTGTCTCACAGTAACAGCATGTTATATTGGTCTCTTAGTTACACCTTTTAAATTCAGCACATTTGGGGGACTTGTCGCTTCTTTCCATTGTCTCGTTTACAAGCACTATTATGTGGTAATTATAAGGCAATTCACTAACACTTTAAAATAATGATTCAGCTAATTAATGCTGAATTACATTAGACAAATCTTAGCAGAGGCTGAATTATAATGATTACTGCCCCCCTCTCAAAACACCAAAGGAACTGGAAATTGGACAATTACTTTAAAATGTTTATTACATTAAAATAAAGGTGTGACGTTTAGGAGGTTTTGTGCTTCACTAGTAGAAGAAAAGCTTTCAGGAGCTTCTGACATGTAGAAAAAAGGCACATAGGATGCAAAGCAGCAATGTCATCAATGCCTAGGGAGGCGATGCAGTTACTGTACTAGGCGCTAAAGCACGTCTCTAAAACACTGTACATTAAAACCCTCACCATTCACAGATCAGATACCTCTTCCATGTTCACCCCAAATGATTTCAATACATTACTATATAAGTTATGGTAAACCTTAAAACAATACTGGAAATAACTATTTGCAACACAGCACATAGTTAGAGAGTAGAATTCACTTCCACAAGATGTGGTGATAGCTACCATCTTAGACTGGCTTTAAGGAGAGATGAGACAAATTCATGGTGAGTAAGACTATCAGTGGCTATTAGTCATGAGAGATATATACTATCTACAGGTTCAGAGGCATCATGCCTTTGGGTACCAGTTTCTGGGAAACAACAGAGAGAAAGGGCTCATGGGCTCAAGTCCTCCTTGTTGGCCTCCCATAGATATCTAGATGGCCACGATGGAAAATGTGATGTGGGACTACATAGTCTTCTTCTGGTGAGATCCAGCAGAGCTGCTCCTATACTCCAGTTCCTATAATGAATGGATATTGTAAGCATTTCGTTTTCCATTTATTTGTAAGTCGCTTTTCCACACGAAAAGTCATGCTCACAGAAGCTTACAAAAAAACAAAACAATAATACATTTCAATCAAGCACTACAAAAAATTCACAACAACATAGCAAAACAGCAGCAAATATAATAATATAGAAAACCCCCACATTTCTGTACTGTAAATATAACAAGATTACTTAAACAACATGCAGCACCCAATAGCAAAATAACAAGGGAGCTTCACAATCCTAGAAACACCCCTCCCATGTGGTTGCTCACACTACTCTCCGCTGCAGCAGCAGCTTCCAAGGGCAAGGGGTGAGATATCTGGAAACACCCCTCTCACTGCCCCACCCCCCTCAGTCTGCTGTGAGCCAGCTCTTGCCTGCCTTCTTATTTACAACCAGCTGTCAGCTTCCTCCTCCTTAGTCTCAGTGTTGTCCTTGTAGAACTCAGCAGGAAGTTTGGGACAAAACTAGAATTGCTTGGCTCCACCTGTCATTGGCCTTGGCTCCACCTATTATCGGCTTTGGTTCCACCTCCTGTTGGGCACCCCTGTTTTCTGCCAGTTGCAATGAGCACCAGCCACTGCTGATATAGTGGTAGACAGTAATCTTTTGCTTTGCTGTACTCTGCTTTGCTTTGCCCTTCCTTCCTCCCTCCCCTCCTCCCTCCCTTCTTCATAACATGCCTTTAACCAATAAAGTAAAGAGCTGCCTTTGAAAGCCACTGACTCTTTTTTTGGGATTGCTTTATGTATCCTTTTACTAGTCTTCTTGGTTCTTTTGTATCAGACAGCAAGAGAGCTGTGCAGAGGATTATTTTAAGGATTCATCTCTGCTTAACTGAAAGATCCTTTACCACTGTGTTGCAAAGCTTGCTTAAAAACCCACACACACTTCACTAAAAGATAGGCAGGGTCACATGAATACGGCATGCCAGGTAACAGCATGAAGTTGTCCCAGGAAGGCACTGCTATTTTGACTACTGTTCACCTGATGCCTTTCAAAGGATGACAGAAAAATTGCTCACACAAACCCCATCTACAGAATAATATTGCTGGCAGTGACACTGAAATGGCCAGTAATGCCAAGAGGGTATTGGCTTTGTCTTATGTTGGGTCTTTGGGAATTAAAAAGCAAAACTACATGTTATCTTTGCCCAAGAAGATCCTGCTGGATCAGACCAATGGCCAATCCAGTCCAGCATCCTGTTCTTTCTTTGGCCAACCAGACGTCAAATGTCTTTGTCTTTAGTATCTGATATGACCTGGCATTAAAAAGGAATATTGGCCTAGAAGCAGAATGAAAGCTGGAAACTGTAGTTAAAATCAAGATTTGTTGAACCTTTATTCAAGCTAAATATTTAAGACATGCCTTGTTCCCTTTCTCTGCAGCCATTTCTCCAGGATTCTGTTTCCAGAATCAAGGGAGATGGCACATTTCTTTCTCCACCTTAGTATTTCTACAGCTATTCCCCATACAAGGATTTGACTGCTGGTCTACAGTAATCTCTTGCTGGTAGATTGAATCCAGTGAAAAAGCAATTCTCCTTTGTGGTTCTGCTTCTAACCACTGGACATAGTAGAGAGATGCAACTCCATTCCAATATTCTTTGTGCCCCTTTAGTGAAAGGTCTTTGCATCTTAGATTTCTTCCCAACTACTTCTTGTACTTGGGAAAGATAATCATCCTGATAGTCCTCTTCTTTTTGGACAGGCAGATCAGATCAAAAGGAAATCAGGCAACAAGTTCAAGAAAGGCCTCTTCCTGAGACTTTGGAGAGCTCCTGTCAGTGAGTAGACACAGTGCTGTTCTAGTGTGGACCAAGACCTGACTCAGTAGAGCAAGGATGGGGAACCTCTAACCCACAGGCTTAATTAGGCCTTCCTATTTGGCCTGTGAGCTAATGAAATTAGGTGTGGGGCAGGTAAAAAGCTGGCTTAGCTGAATGAAAGGGGCCTGCAGGCACCAATGATCAGCTGATTGACGGTACCTACATACCTGTGTGAAAGGGCTTCACAGGACCTGACCATTGGCATGGGCTTTGCAAAGCACTTTGCAAGACCCAACAGCCACCTGATTGTCGGCTATTAAGAAGCCTGTTGCGAAGGGCTTAGAAAGCAGAGAGTAGCTTCTTATGAGTCCAGGAGGCTCATACCATGTGTCACCTGCTGAGACAGGGCACACCATCTTTTAGATAAGATTAATAAAACAGTTTCACAGGAAGGAGGATGGCTACCAGCCAGTTGAACAATGACCCTGGCAAATGAATTACACTTCCTGGGTTGCCTTTGCCAATGTTTTACTTGGCCTTGTCCCTTCTATATCACAGCCAGGATTCCACTCAGCTCCTGCTTCTGTTGTTATCACTTGCCACTTAGACTTCAAGTCTCTGGCATTAGATCACTGCATCTTTTTTAACCATAGATTTGTTCTCCCCCACTCTAGGATTCCAAAAGTCTGAAGGCTGGCTAGGAAGAGGATTCTATTTTGGTTACTTATGTTGAATTTTTGCCTTTCAGAGGTGTTAGATGATGCTAGAAGACTGGGAAATTACACTGTGTGATGTGACGTTATCTGCATAAATTATATGAAATAACAACAGGAAGAAGTTTCCATTGTGGGATAGGTATTTTTCCGACTTCTTGAGAAATTCACAGGAGGTTGACCTTTCCTTGAATCAGACAATCTTGATTATGAGTCAAATCTGAGCTCTCACTATGAAGTCTTTTTTTAAATGTCTGTTTGAAAAATGACCAGACTATCTTATCAAGCGGGCTCTTTCAGGATTTGGGGGAAGCTTTCCTAAACAATAGACAAACCTCAAGCGCAAGAATCTGCTTACCTTAATGGCTCACTAATGCTTTATATCCACTGTTCTGGTGTGGTCCCTTATAGATTCACAGAAACATTCTGGGTGCATTATTATTTGCTTCATAGAATTTGCCCATTTGGTTTTTGGTTGTGTAAAAAAACCCTCGTTGTCAGGGAAGCTGCAATTTTGGGAGAACCATTTGCAGTGAAATATAATGAGGATTGGCTGATCCCAGTGAGCAGGACTGATTCTGAATGGGAATGACATCACCAAAGAGCTGAACTAACTCCAAGAGAAACCTACTGAACTGGAAACAAAGCACTGGAGAAAGCTAAAGAAGACTTTTTATGTTTCGCTTCACAGTTATTTCAAGACGCTGCTTTTCAACAAATCCCCGTGTCCCCAAAAAACACTCCAAACCTTAATAAGATTTTTAAAATGTGCCATAACACATTTTTAAAAGGCTTAGATATACATATGTATTTATGTCTGACTAATATTTTACAAATTGACTGTGTTGGCTTACTAATAATGTGTAAATAGCAAGGGAGCTGGTGGTGAATAACTTTGAATTCCATTATTAAACAGTGCCCCTTAGCACAAAAAACCTCACCACACTTCTTGTTGCAGGCCACATAAAAATGGCTATTTGATAACTGTATAGTCAGGGCAAAATGTGTGTCTATTTATCCAACATACATGCTACCGTGTACACCACTTTGAAGTTTTATTCTTTTTTTTACAATCAAGTGGTGTATTAATATTATGAAATAAAAATGTAAAATTATTTTCATTATTGTTATGTATTAATAGTTCATTTTCTTTTTAGGACACCTTCATTATTAAGGCTTCATGTTCATTAATAGCATGCTTCAGTGTTTTATAGCACTGCATAAGAGACCTGGACAGATACATGTTCCCTTCCACTGGGGTAGCCAGTATAATGCTCTTCAGATGTTGTTGAACTTCAACTCACATCAGCCTAACCAGCAAGGCCATTGGTCAGGGATATGGGAAATTGTTGTCCAAAACCATTTGGAGCACATCAGGTTAGCTACCACTGTTCTAGGCCTTTTCCATATTTTTGTAGCTACATAACTATAGGGATTTGATGTAAGCCACCAGATGGATAGTTTAGTGCTGCATGTGAGAAAGCAGTCTCTCATTAAGCCAGCAACTATGCAGCCTCTTGTTGATATATGTACATAGAAATCGTCTAAGCATGTTATGATGTGGTCTACCTCCTTCCTTCCTTATTAGTCACTAGACACAGGGCTTTTTTTCAGCCAGAGCTCACTGGAACTCAGTTCCGGCACCTCTCAGGTGGGCGCTATTGCCATTCTAAGAGAACAAGGGAGAAGTCCATGGTGAGCTCTGGCACCCCTTTTTCTAGAAAAATTGCACTGACCAGACATAGATGACGGCAGCGATCAGTCCAAGAAAATGGGAATGAAAGGTGGTAACTTACCTGGGAGTAAGCACCATTGAAGGTTGCAAGTAGACTTACTGATGAGTGTAATTGTGAATTGTCTTTCAGCTATCTCAACACTGACTGCAAAGTCAGTTTCTTAATTTATAGAAGCTTTTTAAACACTCTTATGATTTTCCTTTCACACATAGAAAAAAGCCTCCTTTCTCTGTAGAAACATGGCCTTTTTGAAAGCATTATGTGGAATACTAGGAAGACGTCAAAGATGATGTAGAGTTATTGGATGAAACTGAACTGGAAGCAGGACTTAATGAAATCTTCTGAAACTCCTGGCTTTGTTTTTATTTATGGGCCTTAGTGACCTGTTAACCCCCTAAACCAACCAGGCCCTGATTTTGGAACAGGAAGATGGTGAGGGCCATACTAGAGCTACATTTCTCGCAATTTTAAAAGAGGAACATGGATGCTGAAATTAGCCCAGGTGACACATATGGATGACGGGAAGTCTAACCTTCACTTATTGTAAAAGTTGCAATTGTATTGGTAAGCACTCCCAGATGTGCAAATTTAATAAAGTTACAGCTTAGGAACAGAACTTTGTTTTTGTTTCTGCAGTGTCAGTCACCGCTGTAGTTCTAGATTGCCTGGATGGTTGAACTAGAGATTTACTGTTATTCTCATGATGATGTAGAATTTGCATAGAACTGAATTCTAGGTAAAGAACAATAACAAGTGTTAAACAAACCACAGAAGACCTCATAGCTTAATTCAGATTTTTATCATAACTTTGGCTGCTGATCTTCACTGAGTTTCTTTGTGCTGCAGAATGTTTCTAGCACAGGTTTCAATTCCTGTTCCTCATTAGAAGCAGAAATATCATCTTACTTTGGAGAGCGAATTACTCCATTTAATTCAAAAGCATAGTGGATTCCTAACCATCTGAATAAAAAATGAATTATAAGATTGTAGCTATCATGGTGAAAGCCTGAATTTTGAGTACATCATGAGAGTAACTCAACTCTCCAATTCCTGTTCAAGTCACTCAGCCAGCTAACATGCACAGTATGTTAGAAATGAATGTGTTTGACTGCATTCAGTATACAAACTGTGATATATACTCTAGGAGCAATAAAACACAAGCCAAGTGTCATGGCTTTACACAAAGAACTAGAAAGCTGCCTTGTGCTGAATCAGACTGTTGGCCCATCTATAGCTCAGTACAGTCTGCACTGACTGGCAGTGGCTTCCAGGGTTTCAGATAGGGTTTCCCCCCAGGCCTGGGACCTTCTGCATGCAAACATGTGCTCTTACCATCAAGCCTTTTTCTAAAGCTCATGAGGCAAAGAATCAGGTGCTGAGAGTTCCGATATTAATGTAATCACCTGTGCTGAATACTAAAAAGAGTCTGGCCATCATAGCAGAAGTTATATGAGTCCAACGTAATGCACCTAATATTTGTCACTAGCAATGATTTCCAGTGAAATTTCTATTGACAAGCAGCATAGCACAATTTACATGCTCCACTTGCCTGCTGCAGGATGCTACTGTTGCTACATTGATGCCAGGTGCACGATGCGTAATTTCAGCAATATGTGTCTATAGGATCGAGACAATATAATTGGCAATCATTTTCTGATGTTTTCTTTCCAATAACCATGTGAAGCTGTAGAGGCCAGAAATATGGTGTCCTTGCCCCCTAGTCACCTGAGCTTGGCTGAGCAGATTGAAACCACGTTTCCTCATAGCTAGGCCTCACAGGCAGCTCCTGGCTTTCAGACATCCACACTCCATTGTGGTCTGGGAAGTGACAAGTCTGAACACAAATATTGGGAAATTTCTCCCAAAGGAGGGATTGCATGGCTTTACAGAGTGACCTTGAGAATGGCAAGATAAGATCTACTCACCAGATATCTTAGAGATGGGCAATAATAAACATGCTGTTTCTTTCTTACGGCAGCTTTCACAATAAAAATTTCCACTTTTGCAAGGCTTTTTTTATATGCATAAGGTAGGTATTTCTGTTTTGGTTTTGACTCGAGATTAAGGTGTGCACATCGGCGGACCTATTCAAAAGTCCTAAGAATGAATAATCAATACACACAACTTGCAGACTTAACATATAGAATAAGAGAACAAGAAGAACATACGTTTAAAGAAGATTGGAAAACGTTTGCGGAATATATGGGAAATAATTGTGTACAGATGAAAATGCTGGCAGTATCGATAAATTCAACAGTGTAAATAAGTTTTGATGGATGCAATAATGGAATACTGAATGGTATAGTTTTTGTAAAATATTCAGGGATTTATGATATGATATGAGTATTTTAAATTGTAAAACAGTGTGTGTATATATATATATATATATATATATATGGCGGGATGTGTCGTCACGCTTGTTCATGTTGTGAGGGTGTTTCTCTATCTCGATGGCTTCCATGATTATTCTCTTGTGGTGATGTTCCATGTTAGAGAGCAATTTGGAATCTGCAAAATTAATTTCGTGTCCTGTTTCTTTCATGTGTTGGAAAAGAGAGGAAGTTTTTTCTTCTTTTTTGACGGCATTCTTGTGTTCTGCGATACGTGCATTTATTCGTCTGTTTGTTTGTCCAATGTACGTGGACATTGCAATCCCTGCAATCCCTACACAGATCTGGCTGGCACAGGACACAAAACCACAGCTCGCCCCTATACACGAAGCCAAGCCAGAGCACAACTAAATGCAATACAGCCATCTTCTCAGAAAAACTCTTCACAAAGTTCAAGAGGTCAAGACACGAAGGCTTTAGCAACTAATCCACACCTAATGACCCACCTAAGTGGTACTCAGGATATCACTCAAGAAATCACTCAAGATATCCCTCAAGTAATTAAGGAACAAAAGAAGAAAAGGCACACTAGCCTGGGAACTTCCTCTCTGCCCAGAACATTGGAGGCTATACACCACACCCCCTCAACAGTATTTATAGGAACTCAAACACTGAGATCCTGCTCTGTTCCAGTAACAAGAAGCCGAAAGCACCAGCCTGAAGATGACGAGTGAGACCTCGTCGAAACGTCGCCTAGACACCCCAACTTTTACACGGGAAGACACCCGAGGACACCAAAACCTGCATTCCTGTACCCGTGAAAATCTACGAAAGCAAATATATATATATATATATATATATATATATATAAATATCAGTTATTGCCTAACTCCAAAAGTGAATTTATTAACAGCTAAAATGTTTAATATGGGGGCCAATGAAATTGGCACCATCACCACCCACCCTGACTAAAAGGCATTTTTGAATGCCGCTGTCATAGTTCCTGCTCTGATGAGCTTTTTTTGGGGGGGGAGGGGGTAGTTGTTAGGTTTCAAAATTACATTAATGTCTTGTGTGTATTCAGAAAGCACCTACCTAAATGTGTTCAATATAGAACAAAACTTTAAAGTCATGAAGTGGTTCAAAAGTGATTTGTTATTACACCGAATCCCCAATACCATATAAAATATGTAGTTTCTTATAAATAATGAACCAATCCCTGTGAAACTTGTAAGTCTAGAAAAATGTTGCTTAAGAATATCAATCATCTTAATGATGAAACTCATTAATGATGAAACCACTAGTGTGAAAGTGATGCTACATGCTCTGAAATCTGTTTTTAATTTTTTATAAAAGGTAAATTAATTTTTGAAGTTGACATGGACATGTTGTACATATAAGCTATTTAGCAATGTGTTAAGGGCAGAATTGTTTTCTCAGTCTGCTTCTGTGTTAGAGCCTCTTCAGGAGAGAGAGCAGGGAAGAAAAGAACCTTCAGATCTTTTAGGCTGTTCATGCTGAGAAATTACATCTAAAAGAATATATTCAGTGTATGGATGCCCCATTAGGTTTAAATTTAGCAAATCATGATAACCTCTTGAGGACCTGAGTAGATCAAATAATTAATGGTCTAAATCCAGTGAACTGCAAGCCTCACCAAAGGTTGGTGCGCTTACTCCTGCATTTATGATTTAAAGTGCTGGAGCTACAAAGCAAGAACATTTCATTGTAGGGTTCAGGTGGTGGGGTCCAAGCATGTCAAAACTGCAGTAAGCACAGGACAACTGCTTGGGATTTGAACAGGCCACAACTTTATTGATTACAGATGTCAACAGGTTTTGGCATAGGTATTGGGTGTCAACCCCAAGCCAACCAATCCATCTGCTGGTTGATTATTTTGCCAGTGTTAACCAAGGTTGTGGGCTACCTTGTGATGCACACCAAATCAGGGCGACTTGCTCAAGATCACCTTGGTGGAGCTATGGCCCATCAGCCCCTGTCTGAGTGTCTGGACACAGTGGCGGATCTTGGGGTCTCAAATTTCAGTAG